AAACCTCTTCAGATAAAATTTCCATTCAGCTCTTTTATTTATGTTTTCAATATCTCTTCCACTGCTTCAACTCATCTCCTCAAATAATTTGGCCAAAAAGTACTTTCCTTAAAAAGGACACTGAGGAGCACGGTCTGCCGGGAGGACCTGCACCAACAGCACACAGTAGACATCGCAAACAAGTGTTTGTAGTGGGTGACTCTCTCTTAAAGGACACTGAGATGTCCATTTGCCATCCTGACAGGGAGCCATGAGGGGTATGTTGCCTTCCGGGAGCTAAGTTTTTGATGTTGCTGAGAGTGTGCCACCACTTGTCAAGAACATGGACTACTAGCCACTGTTACTCTTTCATGTGGGCAGGAATGACACCACAAGCTGGAACCTGGGCAGAATTCAGGAAGACTTTGCAACCCTAGGGGTGCAAGTGGAAAAAATTTGTGCTCAAGCGATATTCTCCTCCATTTTACCAGTTAGAAAAAAAGTGAGCAGCCAGAAATGGATATATAATGCATATCAACTCCTGGTTATGAGACTGGGGCCATCATGAGGTTTTTGGCTTCTATGACAATGGGACATTCTTCCATGAATATGGCCTGTTAGAGAGGGATAGGACCTACCTGTCTAGAAGAGGCAAGGGAATCTTTGGCAGCAGGCTGGCTAACTTAGTGAGACGTGCTTTAAACTGAAGGACACAGGGATGGGGTCCAATGTGGCAATGCTCACGCCAGCTTAGCCAACTGGGGAATCAGCCAGGCCAGTGAGACCAGTGACAAATATTCCTTAGCTGACTCTTAAGATGAGATCCAGAAAGCCCTCCACCTCAAGGGTGTGAGTGGCTGTGGTGGATAATCTTGCTCCCCTCCATGGAAACCCGTCTGCTCTACTACCTCCCTGAAATGCCTGTACCCCAACGCACGCAGCATGGGGAATAAATAGGAAGAACGAGAGATCTGTGTGTGGTTGCAGGGCCACGATCTCATTGCAGTCACAGGGTGGGACAGCTTGCATGACTGGAATGACAGGCCAGTGGTGCGAGGTGGCGCAGTCGGTCTCTACGTGAGAGAGCAACTGGAACATACTGAGGTCTGCCTAGGGGTGGATGAAGAATGTGTTGAGAGCTTATTGGTAAGAATTAAGGGGCAGCTTAATACGGGTAACACTGTTGTGGGTGTTTATGACAGACCAGTGGATCAGGAAGAGGAAGTCAGAGGGAGTCTTTACAGAGAGCTGGAAATAGCCTCACTATCTCAGGCCCTGGTTCTCATGGGGGATTTCAACCACCCTAACATTTGCTGGAAAGACAAATGCAAACAGGCACACACAGTGCCGGAAGTTTCTGCGGAGCATTCATTATATAACTTCTTGACACAGGTGGTGGAGGATCCAATGAGGAGAGGTGCTGACAAACAAAGACAGACTACTTGGGGATGTGACAGATGGAGGCTGCAGTGACCATGAGAGAGATGGTGGAGTTCAGGATCCTGCTTGGAAGAAGCATGGCAAAAAGTAGAATTACAGCCCTGGATTTCAGGAGAGATAACTCTGGATTCTTGCAAGACCAACTTGGAGGAATCCCATGGGCTACGGCTCTAGAAGGAAAAGGGGTGTTAGAGAGCTGGTTAATATTCAAGCACCACTTCCTCTAAGCTCAAGATCAATCCATCCCTAGGAGCAAGAAATCAGACAAAGGAGGCAGGAAGTCTGCACAAGTGAGCAAGGAGCTTCTGGAAAAACTCAGAGGGAAGAAGAAAGTTTATAGAAAGTGGAAAAAGGCACTGGCCACTTGGGAGAAATACAGTAATGTTGTCAGAGTAAGAAGGGATGCAACAAGGAAAGCTAAGTCAAAACCTCGCAAGGGATGTCAAGGACAATAAGAAGTGTTTCTTCAAGAGCATCAGTAGAAAAGGAAGACTAGAGAAAATGTGAGCCCGCTGCTGAAAGAGGTAGGTGCCCTGGTAATGGAGGATGCTCCATTAGTCTTTACTCCTAAGGCTGGCCCTCAGGAACCCTAGGCCCTGGAAGCAGGACAGAGATCCTGGAGCAAGGAAGAGTCTCTCTGGATTGAGAAAGATCAGGTTAGGGATCATTTAGGCAAACTTGACACCCACAAATCCATGGGCCCTGATGGGATGCACCCGCAAGTGCTGAGGGTTCCATGCAGATGTTACTGTAAAGCTGTTCTCCATCATCTCTGAAAAGGTCATGAAGAACGGGAGAGATGCCTGAGGACTGCAGGAAAGCCAATGGCACTCCAGTCTTCACAAAGGGCAAGAAGGAGGACCCAGGAAAATACGCCTGATGGGATGCACCCGCAAGTGCTGAGGGTTCCATGCAGATGTTACTGTAAAGCTGTTCTCCATCATCTTTGAAAAGGTCATGAAGAACGGGAGAGATGCCTGAGGACTGCAGGAAAGCCAATGGCACTCCAGTCTTCACAAAGGGCAAGAAGGAGGACCCAGGAAAATACGGGCCAGTCAGCTTCACCTCCATCCCTGGAAAGGTGGTGGAACAGTTCATCCTGGATGTCATCTCTAAGCATGTATAGGAAAAGAATGTTATTGGGAGTGATCAACATGGATTCATGAAGGGGAAATTATGCTTGACCAATCTGATAGCCTTCTATGATAGAATGACTGCTGAGTGGATGAAGGGAGAGCAGTGGATATTGTCTACCTTGACTTCAGCAAGGCTTTTGACACTGGGTCTGGTAACATCCTCACAGGTAAGGTTAGGAGATGCGGGTTAGACAAGAGGTGGATTGAGAATTGGCTGAAGGGCAGAGCTCAGAGAGTTGTGATCAGAGGTGCGGACTTCAGTTGGAGGCCTGTAACTAGTGGTGTTCCCCAGGCATCAGTACTGGGTCCAGTCTTGTTCAACATATTCATTAACGACCTGGATAAGGGGACAGAGTGTGCCCTCAGCAAGTTTGCTGATGACACAAAACTGAGTAGCTGATACACCAGAAGGCTGTGCAGCCATACAGAGAGACCTAGACAGGCTGGAGAGTTGGGTGGACAGGAACCTAATGAAGTTCAACAAGGGCAAGTGTAGGGTCCTGCATCCAGGGAAAAATAACCCCATATACTGGTACAGGTGAAGGGTTGACCTGCTGGAAAGCAGTTCTGCAGAGAGAGACATGAGAGTCCTGGTGGACAACAAGCTGACCATGAGGCAGCAATGTGCCCTTATGGCCAAGAAGGCCAATGGTCTCCTGGGGTGCATTAAAAAGAACATGGCCAGCAGATTGAGGGAGTTCTTCCTCCCCCTCTACTGTGCCCTGGTGAGGCCACCTCTGTAGTACTGTGTCCTGTTCTGGGCCCCTGAGTTCAAGGACAAGGAACCACTGGAAAGAGTCAGTGGAGGGCTACAAAGACAATCTAGGGAATGAAGGAGCTCTTTTGTGAGGAAAGGATGAGAGACCCGGGTCTGTTTAGCCTGGAGCAAGGATCTCATCAATGCGTATAAACATCTAAAGGGTGGATGTCAAGAGGATGGGGTAAGACTCATATCAGTGGTGCCTAATGACAGGACAAGGGGCAATGGGCACAAACTGGAACATGGGAAATTCCGTCTCAACATGAAGAAAAAATTATTTAATTTGAGGGTGAAACAGCACTGGAACAGGGTGTCCAGAGAGGTTGTGGAGTTTCCTTCTCTGAAGGTATTCAAAACCCACCTGGATGCGTTCCTGATCAACCTGTTCTAGTGAACTTAGTTTTCCCCAGTTTAGGTAATACGTGGATTAAAAATATCAGTTCCTCTCTTGTTTCCTTAAGTATTCTTAGCATTCACAAAAGAACCTTTAAATGTTGATAGTGTACAAAAGGTAAATCAAATTGTTTATTGTTACTTTCAGTTTGCTAATGCTATGATTGTGAATTTCTTACAGCTGGCTTTTATAATTACAAGTAGTGATGTTTGACAAAGTGATATTGTATTTTCCAGTAGCTTGAATTCTCATTTCTTTTTCAACATATCTCAAAATTTTATGATGTCATTTAAAGATTTACATTATTAAGGCACCTGAAATACCTTCAACAGCTGACTGAAGAAAAACTATATCGTCATCAAAACTGATTATCAAGTTTCCTCAAGCTGTTTTAAGGAAAACAAATATTAAATGACTTAGCAGGGCAACTGCCACAACTGTTGAAATATAAAAAGTGATATTGTATTTTCCAGTAGCTTGAATTCTCATTTCTTTTTCAACATATCTCAAAATTTTATGATGTCATTTAAAGATTTACATTATTAAGGCACCTGAAATACCTTCAACAGCTGACTGAAGAAAAACTATATTGTCATCAAAACTGATTATCAAGTTTCCTCAAGCTGTTTTAAGGAAAACAAATATTAAATGATTTAGCAGGGCAACTGCCACAACTGTTGAAATATAAAATTTTAAAGTGTTTTTTTTTTTTAAAAAGTATATGTCTAGGGATTCTATAAACTATTAATTGTTTGTCTATTCATTACTTGCTGTAAAAAAGTATTTTATAACTTTTTAAAACAAACTAACAGGCATTTAGGAGCTTCACAATAAAAACCTCTTTCTGCTTATACAGCATAGTAAACCTTAAATGCTGTAAAAGAACAATCTCATTCTTGACTGTAATTTATTAATCTCTTTCCCTTTCTCGTTTCTCCAGCTGCCCACACATACATACCAAAAGGCTAAAATATTTAGAGGAAATCTTATTTTTTCTCTCTCTTATGTGCATTTAAATTTTCAGTTGTTTCCTTGAACAATGTTTTACACACAACTGTGTTCTGTTAGCCAATCCGTTTCTTGAGAGTACAAACCTACTACAAGTTTGTTTATCAAAATGCTATTACATTTTACATTGACATCTGATCAGTTTTTACAAATAATTTTCCCCCAACAAACACGTGTTTAAAAAAAATACACGGGCTACAATCCATATGCAATCATGCATGTGCTCCTTTTTGCTTTGCCTTAACCTCTAACGTGTTAGACAACTAAGTAACGTGAAACTTACGGCTGTCCAGGCTTCTTTTCTGCATCGGGAACACAACCATTCATTATGGATTTCATGAGGAGGAACACCATAGCAACCTAGAATAAGAAAGCAGGATTAATTAATATATCCCACCTTTCTATCTATGATATCATACAATTCAACTGTGTATAAACACTAGTAAAACACATCTCCTATGACCAAGGAAACTTTTCCAGTCTCAGCTTACTACTAATTCCCTAGCTTATGAAATACATAGACACACAGACACTCTTTCCCCTCAAAAAAAAAAGCCAAACTAAAGAGACCCACACCAAACCAAACTGAAAATCAAAACAAACAAAAAAACCACCCCAGACACGAAAAAAAAAACACCAAACCCCAGGGAATTTCTTATTTTCTGCCAGTTCAATAGCAAATCACCAATTCTCCCTGCAGTAAAAATGTACAATTGTAATTAAAGTACTGGCATTCATTCTATGCAATTATACTGCACTTCCACATGATAATTTCACACAGGCTTCTTAGAATTGACTATTCAGGCCCTACTGTCTCTAGAAGATACTGTAGAAAAACCATGCATTCATCAGTCACTCTTGAAATAAAAAAAGAATGCAAGGTGAAGGAAATGACTGCATACCTAAAGCCAACAGCAATACTCACAAGTCCTCAAATCCAGCAGGATTCACCCTGACTAGTTAATAAGGACATATTGACATCACACAGTGGCTTAAAATACAAGAAGTAAAAAAGGAATTTAACAGCTCAGAATTGACACGAGTCAGAAGTCTGTGATTATTTAAAGTTTGTTAATTCTTCACTATTTTCACAGCAATCACTTACAAGTAATAGGAAATGTAATGTAGTTTTTAAAAAAAATTAGCCAGTGATTGAGGTACTACATATGGAAAAGTTCTTCAAGTACTTTTGAAAACATACCAGAAGCCTCATTAACTATTATTTATCAATAAAACAAAATTTTAAATTACGTTTTTGCCAACTGAACAATTAGTTTATTTACTTGCATGAACCCGTACAGAACATTTTGCACAAGAAATCAGAAGACTTGTTCCATCCTCTTCAATAAAGGCATTTGATGGATAGTTTTCAGTGTTTTCTTCACTATAAATAAAACACATCTCTGGAATAAGAGGCTTAGTCTTTTCATTTTCAGCCATCAATGTTTCTGCTGAGTTTGCTTCCCCGAAAGTAGGACTCCCTTCATCATGATTGTCTGGCTGGAAAATAGACAAAATTTATATTTAAGTAAAAAGGAAGACTAATACTGACTCTCCCTTCTCTGTCAATGATGAAATGACTTTTCCCCTCCCAGCTCTTCCACTAACAATGTAACAGTTTTATGAGAAAATTAATTGCTTTTAGGCATCTATCACAGTCATTCTATAGTTCTTCCACTGTTCAAATAAATGCGACATCTAGAGTAGCACTCAGCCTGCAGACTAGTGTTATGGGAGCTGTGTTCAATGATACTGGACCTCTGTACCTCCCTGCGGGTTTAGTGCAATAAAAGTTTTTTTACTAGTTCCCATGCCCAGAGGATTCCAGTTTAGCAGCTTCAGAGGTGGTACCATAGTACCACAGCAGCATTTTTCGCTGACATTTGACACAGAAATTCCACAAGCCAGTATCAAACAGTGCTCTGCATTAGACCGTTCCTAGAGGATATTATTCTCTAGAATGCCTAAGGACTGTGAAAACACTTATTTTTTCAACATTGAGGGAAGGAGACATAGAAGAGGCTCTGATAAAAACCATTTGAAGATGGACATTTACAGAAATAGCTAAAAGATACAAACCTATGTGGATTCACCACCTCCAAAAGCGTACCTTCAAGGACAACCACACATATACAAACACTAGGCCTACACAGACCCTAGTAGAAGGCATATACTGTCTGCAGCCAAGGATAAAGACAGGTGAACAGAGTATAGGTTCTAATATTAACAATATTAAGTTTATTTTCTTCTCATACAAATCAAATACATAAACTTATCTTGTTTCTAATTTACTGGAAATTAAGCAGCTGGACAGCTAGTTCACACTTCATCCAGAGATGGAGCTGTTAGGATCTTGCTTACCTTGTAGTATGGCATGAGAAGAGTACAAATGGCACAGTGTGGCTCCTTTTTTGCACAAGCTGCATTGTATTCTTTTTCAGCATTGAAATTGGGTGCTCTCGTCTGCCAAAGGTAGACCAGAGGCCTGGCCCATGTCTCCGTCTCTTGAATTTCCTCTTCAATTAAGGCAGTCTCAGGCAGTTCTTAAAGAAAAAAAAACGAGTGGGTACATTGTAGGCCTGGAATGAAGGCAAATGGCAATGATCCCACTATTGTGCTAACAACAAAGATAAAACAATCCTGTAAGAAGCCTCTGTGTGAATACAAGTGCAGAAATCTGAAAGAATTATGCATCAGGACAAGCAACACAAAAACGTGCTTTGACACCTGTGTCATGAGCTGACTGCTCCACATGGAGCATAAGAGTGTGTGTCACCAGATCTACTGTTTACAACTTATATTAATATCCGCAACATTCCATCTCACTCTCCCACTCCTTAATTCCTCCAACTTCTACCCCATATCCCTCTATGCACTCTGCCCTAAATTCCTCCCAAACAGAACATCCTGCCAAGCAGCACCAGATAAATCACTCCCTTCACCCTCAATTCCTTATGGAAACTGACGCTCATTTTCCAAAGGCAGAAAGAGAAAAAGGTAATAGACAGGGAGTAATGGGGAACAATCAGATCTAAGATGTAGCTGAACATGCACACCAGACCCCACTACGGGAACAATTATTTGGTAGTATCAGGAATCTGTTCTGGATGTTGCAAGAGTTTGTTTTACCTATTATGAGTGTTTCCATGCAGGAATCCATAAAAGTGACTTTATAAAATTAAATGCCTCTAGAGAAGCTGGGAAATAAAATCAGACTGAAACGCAAAGAGAAATAGCTTTATTCAACAGGAGTAATCTAAAAATGTATTCATTTGCTGTTCAGAAAGAGGTGGAAAAAGGAAAGCTGTGAAGAAGAACCTGGGTGTAAAACTTTTGTTCCAGTGAAATCAATAGCAGAATTAATAACAATCCTGTTGTTAACACCATAATTTCAGCTTAGTCACATGTTTCAGCTGACTGGAAACCTCAAGGTATCTTCATAAGCACCTTAGTGACTTTGCCACCTGCAAAATATACAGATTATGAGGAGGAAATGTCTTTTCATTCTAGAAAGGAAAGCACTGATGACAGGAAATGTTAAGTATATTTTCCTGAATTGGGTCCTTCTACAGTGCTCTGATTAATGATGAGGTCTGTGGTTCTGTTCATTCAAGCGGACAATGCCTATTAAATCTTTCGTGATCAATGAGAAGGCATGCAGGTGTCAATTAGAATAACTAAAATAATGTGATTGTAGGAAGGAAAATATGGAAAGCTATTGAATAGAACTTTCAGATAACAAAAAAGGTCTATAGTGTGCAGTAGTTTTCTAATGATGTATTTAAGAAAAATTGTTTATTTCAGAAGAACAACATTCCAACAGAGAAATGTTTAGTGAAATATATTAAGCTGAATCATCACGTTCCTTCAGACCATGACTGCCTTCCTCTTTATGAAAAAGTGGAGGCTTTATGGGTCTCCTCCTATGATAAATTGTCACACATTGCTAAAAGCACAATAAAGTTGACAGTATTTTTGTTGGTGTTGAATAAAATACGGATTGAAATATCTGTCTACAAGCAAGTCAAACATAGCAAAAAATAAATTAATTAATATATATAATTAAATATATAATACATGTGAATTTTATTCCATTTTCTATATTTTCTGAAAAGAACTAATATCAATTCAATAAATATTTGCCAATAATCCAGCTGGAAGGACAAATACGAAACACCTGCAAAAAAGCTGTCACTAAGTCAATATTCAGCAGCAGAGCTTTATGGTGAATCACCTAGCGGTGAAAGAATAGCAGTGAAGAAATAGCTGAACCCAAGGAAGAAATGAAAATATGAAACCCTGGCAAAACTTTTATAGCTTTCTGTATTACTTAAGTTAAAGGCTGTCCTGACTCCAGCGTGGATAGGGGCTCTTTTCCCCAGGCTCTGGCAGGGAGACAGGTATTCCATACCACGGGAGCCATGCCCAGGGGCTAGTTGGGAGCTGCCAAGGGAGGGGACAGGAAGACTTGAGAGTGAGCTGGGGCATCCAGGGCCCGCTGGGTATCATAACAGGTGGCATCATAATCGTGTCTGTACATCCCTCTACCAGTGGTGGTGGTGTTGTTTTATTGTTCCCTTTGCTGTTCTGTTTAATTGCCTTTGTCTCAACCCATAAGTTTTGCCTTTTTCTTCCCCTATGACGGTGGGGGGTGGAGGTAGAGCATGAAGCGTGGTTCTTTGTTGCCATGTGAAGCTAAACCACACAAAAGCTTAACTAAGCTTTTAGTTAAAAACATTCTGTTCAATCATATTTTTTCTACTGCATACAGTTCTACCAAACTGCAAAACAAATAGCTCTGAAATCTATGCCTCTAGTTCTATTTCTATCTATTTGAGTTTTCCTTTACAGAACGGTCTCACAAGTGGATTCATCTTTGCTAACTTATTTTCCAGATTCTTTCTTTGACCCTATTTTCTTTCAGGAGCGTATACTGCCATTATTTTAAATATTTTCAATATAGTTGTGACCTCACATAGAATTCAGGACTTGTGGTGTGGTTTGGGCCAGATTGCCCAATGATGGAGCACAGATGCCCTCCTTCACCTCTCGCTCCAAGGAGAGGAAGGAGAGGGAGAAAGAAATGTACAAGTTTAGACAGAACAGAACTTCTTTAGTGAAATATTAATAATAAAATAATAATAATAATAAAAGAAATAGATACAATATATACAAAACTCTATCAAGCTCTCAGGATGATGTTACAGGCAGGAACTTGGGAAGTCCCAGACTGGACTCAGTGACGGACGCGAACTGGATTCCAGATCTGGAATCAGAAACGCTTGGATTGGGATCACAGGAAGACAAACAGAGTCCTCTGGCCATGGAAGAAAGAGGTTGATCCCCCCCCGGATCCCTCAGTTTTTATACTGAGCATGACGCATATGGGATGGTATACCCTGTTGGTCAGGTTTGGGTCACCTGTCCTGTCCGCTCCTCCCCACAGCTGCGACCCCCCTACGCTCTTCTACTTCCAATCCTCCAGCGGGGGAAATAACAAAGTTAGCTGACCTAATGACTATGATTCTATGACTCTATGACCTTGGTTGTTATAGCAGTAAGTAGAAGCAAGAGCCTCTCTGCATGCCATTCCTGGGCATTTACTATAAATATGGGCCTTATCACTCTGAGGACAGTTTTCTGCACAGTATGACTTCATGGCCATATTGGTTCTGCTTTTCACAAGAACAATATTTATATCTTAATTACCTATAAACTCCACAATTTCATCTCCTTCTTGTGTGATCTTTATAAACCCTTTCCACGCCAAGGGAATAAAAAGAGGGCAAGCCAGGAATAAAGCTGGCAGTACTCTTACAACATTTTGTTGCTTTCAAAGCTTCGTATTTATTTTCAAACCTCATTCCACATGAAGCTAGGGACAAAATGTCTTAGGCAGATGTACCAGACTACATCTTCTACAACCTCAAAAAACTTTAACACTATTTTAATAAATTTCTTTTCCCCTTTACCTTAGGTTTAAAGCAACTATTTCCAGCTACTTAATCACTAGAAGCAAACCCACCTCATTTGCCTCTAATGTCTGTATCTCTATGCATTCTATCTCCTTTGAGGAGTAACTGTCTTCTCAATGCTCCTTACTGCAGTTTCATAGTATCTTTGCATGAACTTCAGCTACCAAGCTTTCTGATATGAATCTCTTGCAATCTTGCACTCTTCTCCACCATAACAAGTCCAGAAGTACAGCCAGGAAAGGAAAAATATCCCTCCTGCTTTCAGAGGGAGAGTAGCTAACCCAGCACTTCTTAAAGGAACGTTACACTAGCTGTCTAAAAAATAATAGGCAGAATGGATGTTCTTAAGGGATATAAGCTTTGTGTAAGCCTTTCTTAACACTAGTGTATAGCTTGGGAATTTCAGTTCTCTTCAAGAATTTCCTAGGTAACCCTAGGCTTAATCTTCAGAAATAATAGTTCATCTCCTTATAATCAACATTCACGCACCCACACATTGAAATCATAAAATGTCAAAAGTAATGGATAGTATATAAAAAAAAAAAGTTACAGAGTACCTGTCTCCCATTACAGAATATGACAACAATGCTGCCTTCAACAACTTTCACACCAGTTAGAATATACAATCTTCTATGTAAATATTCTACATCAGCAGAACTTGGCCAGTTTCAATTTCTGTGCTTTTTCCAAGGTACACCAGTTTCATTGACAGAAATAATGTCCAGGTCAGCTTCTCAGGTAGTACAGGTGGAGTTACCTTCCTGGTTTCCGAAGTCAGAGAAGTTATGTACCATGAATAAAAATGGAGAATCTGGTTGTCCAAAACAGGCAAGGAGTAAAAACCAGCTCTCAAACTGAGAGAAAGGGTAGAATATATAATCACTTGATGTAACAAACAGTGCCTTTTTGGCACAGTTTATAGCCTTTCTTCACTTGCCCATTTAAAAATTGCAAAGTACTATCTATTTCCCCAAAAAACCTGGAAAACTTGAGGGGATTTTAGAATTATTTTTTTTGTTGCTATTTGTCCAGTACTTCTCACTTCCTCATTCTTTCTAAAGACTCCTTTAATTACTTACTACTAACTGAAAAGCAATCAGTGACTTAGCCTAAAATGAATTTACTTTCCTGACTCACATCGTTACATGTAGTTTCAGGGTAGACATTCGGGTGCCTCATGTGAGTTCAGCATTTTTTTGAAAAGATATGTCTGCTAGAATTAAGGAAGTGTCCAGCACCTTTGTCTGCTTCTATGAAATGCTACAAAGGACACAAGACAATTGCAACCTCCAGTTGCCTCCATTCAAAATCCACCTTAACTGATGATTCTCAGAGTAAGAATGGACAACAATTTGTGGTGTCCATACTGACTGAAAAATCTCAAAAGTTCAATTGTCATAAATAGGCATACTTTGTACTTCAGCTGCATAGCAGTGCCATTTCCCAGTTCTCAATGCCCGCAAAAACCATGCTGGAAGCATCAGTTCTACAATGAAAGAGATTCAAACATCACCCTCCAAAAATCATACATCTACTTTACAAGACCAGTAATGTAATATTTCATAAAGCACTATGAACATGATGATTCACTCAAAATCCTATATACCTGCATTTTTCTGAAACAGCCTGAGAATGTTGCTTCAGTTCTTGTAGAGCAAGTTTTGATGAGCAGTCACTTAAGCAATGCTGCCAACCAACAACATTCTATGATACATACCATTATTCAGTCAAACTTTCTTTGCAATAAACTGTCCTGGCTCTAAGAGCAGCACAAGACAGGGAATTTGGAAGACTGAGGTCAGCCAATCCAGTGATATGAAACACAGTATATGTTTATGGAGAGCATTTTCTTTGTACTGCACTTGAAATGGATCTAGGGAATCTATCTTGACTTCTGTGTCTGCTATAACCTGGCTCAAATTACTGATGCTTCCTCTCAGTTCACTGCCAGTAACTGCATGAACAGGAACCTGTACAGAAGCACAGCAGAAATCCCTGGTGAAAACTCTGATGTGACATTTGCTTTTTTTCAGCATGATACTTAGATTGAAAATTAAGAATTAATCAAGACAAAACTGAATAATGATTTCTTGATATTGTTTAGTAAAGAAACATCAAATGACCTTAACTATAGTACAGGATACATATTGCTGTCAGAAGGAATAAAAGAAAATATGGGAGTTGAACCAACTAGCCATGACATGGAAATTCAATACACATTTGCAGCTCAATTGATGGCTGCCACATGGCTGTTCAAGAGATTGCAAACTGTCTTGCATAACACAGAGGCACACTGTCAAATAGTCAAAGAGCCATCTTTAAAGTCTTCAGCTGACCTGCTCCTTGTTTAATCTCCATCTCAATCATGACACTCTTCTTTAGATATAGTAATTATTCCCATAGCAACAAATATTGCATCAGGAATTGAAGCCATGACTTCAACTAAAAAAATAAACACCTCTTCAGCTGAACACCTTCTCACACAACACCACATTCAAGTGTAAATGTTATGCTTAACCTGAAATGTCAGTGCTACTTACAGGAATTCAGAATTGCATAACAATGCAACAGCACTTTAATTACCTGAATCACTTTCTTACAATCAAGCTAGCTCTTCTCCTGAGACCATTTGTCTCTAGAGAACTTCAGTAGATAAGACAACATGCTCAGAGGCTGACTATCCAAAGATGTATGTGCTCACTCCCTACTTTGAAGCAAAACTATGAGAAGAACCATCCAGCACACTTTCTCAGGAGGTATTAAAACTCCATAACTATAAAATACAGTAGAGGGTTTTTCTTTAACTGCAAAAACGAAAATCCTCTGGTTATCACATGAAGCCTTTACTATCTGGAATGTGGCATGCCTAAGGAATTATATGAAATAAAAATTAAATAACCTACACTAAAATAACCCTTTTTGACATTAAAAAGGACTGTCTACACAACAACATCTTGCACCATGTAAAAATTCAATTAAACTAAATTTTAAAAAAGAGTTAAAAAATAGGACACTGTATAAGAAAGAAAAATAAAGACTTGTACTTGCACCATTGAAAATATCTATGTAGACATGACCTCAAAAACTCATAGCTAAGGCAGTTCAATCACAGTCGGGAAACAAAATTAAGTATCATAGAATTTCTTCACCCTATCACCCTTCTAAAGTTAAAAACATGACCATAGGTGTACATTATAAAATAAACTCTAAATTAAAATCAGCTCCTAACTTTGCAGCTGTAAATTATCTTGTGTAATCAGCAAGAGCCAAAGGGACTTTATAGGATTTGGTTCATTAACAAGGATGTGTTGCTCAAAAGAAACAAATGTGAAATTATCATTCAGAGTATCAAGAACTCCCTAATGCCTGAGAAAGAAACAAAAAATCCCAAGATGATCTTATATTTAAGCAACTAAATATCAGCTCCATGCTCAATTAATATTTTACAGAAGAAGAAATCTTGGGCATCTTATACGTGGAAGAGGACCTATTATTAAGTAGACACTCCTTCATTCTGCTTAAAAAATACTGGAACTCTCCTGAAAAACTTCTTGGTGATAGAGGAGTATTTTGTATGTAAATCCTGAAAAACTTCTTGATGATGGAGGTACATTTTGTACGTAAATCAGGGCACTATTGCTCTAATTTACAGCTTAATGTTCCATGCATCATGTGACTCATCAATAAATACCTGAAACTGAAGAAGGCTCAGGGGACAGGCAAAAGGGTTCTGTGCTTTTGAATCTCAGGGAAGAATCCAGGGAATGACTGTCCATAGCCGCTGCAAAGGAAGCCAAATTTGTCTCAACAAATTTGAACAGAGGGTGGCCTTTGTTTTAGATAAATGGCTGTATCAGCTGGGTAATTGGCTGATTGTGTAAATGTTCTTCACCGAATTAATCAGAAGATTGCGAATGTCTTCCTGAGTCAGGAAGACCAGAGTATGAGAAGTGTGTATATGGTTCAGTCCAACACAGAGTATAAAAATTGAACATAGAACAAAAAGAGACCAACAGGTTAGAGCTGACTTCAACCCACATATTCCTTCCCTGGAAATGGTGACACCCAGCATCATGACAGTAAGCATATACAAACCAGTAAGGAGAATCACATTTATATTGTGATCCAACTCTATATTGCAATATACATGCTCTGTTATGCTTGTACTGTGATTTCAGTATATTGCTGTATCACTCTACTAATGCAAAATCCTTTGTAACATCAAATATCTTCCATTAAATTCGATATTATATATTAAATACTTTTTGTGGGGGACATCTAAAAGAACATGGTCAGAGAGTATCAGACACTAGCACAAGAAACACAGAACTCAATCCTTTATTACTGGTACTTAAATTGTATTTACAAGTAAAAAGAGTTTGAGTTCTGCTACGGTGTTAGGCATTAGAGTTTATAGCAGCCAGAAATTTCCTGGATAAGACATAAACCTTCAAAATTGGAGCATATGAATCAAGTTCAAAGACCCTTTACTGGATACACTTTGACAATATATCATACTTGGATTCAAACACCTTATCAATACATCATTAAATACATCACTGATTTTGGTAAGCTTTGGTAATAACTATATGGAGCAGCCTTCACATAAAGAAAACAACATTTCTGCTCTTATAGCCTCCCAAGGAGAGCTTATCATGCAAGTGTGTTAGTGTGCACTTTTTTAAAAAATGCTCTTATATGAATGAAGCCTGTTTCTACTAACTTCTGTTATGTTTCTGGCTGCAATTTTATTACATATTCATGATGAAGTCTAAAAGGGATTAACACCAGCCCCCCTTCCCCCCCCCAAAAAAAAATATATATTTATGGGATGATGTAATGCAGGATATTCCTGTGCATTGAAAAACATCTTCTTACTGCCACTTCTAACAGTGATCACAGATCTTGATTTTCCATGACCACCAGGGCATCTTTATTTCACTGAAAGTATAATGCTTTGTTGTAATAACACTTTACTAGATACAATTAATAAAGAGTTTAAATATTTGGTTACCTAAGAGGATAGAGGAAGTGCTCTTTTTTCCAAATGAAAAGCAGAAATACTTGATGAGCAGTTAATTACTTTAAATAAATGTGTAACAGGTGTTATAAACCTTACTATACCATATAATAATTCAGTCATAGTGGTACTGATAGTATAAGGTGATTAGAAATGCCAAACTCCATACTAGTTCCTGCTATCATATTTGTACCTGAAAATAATATTTATATAGGATTAACTAAGATCTGAAATGTAATTTCAGATTACTAGTTCTCAGTTATGTGATAATTTATATGCATCTGAAACCCTTTACATATTGAAAAAAAAGTGAAACAATTCATTAAAACAAACTGTGTGGACAAAAAAGAAAATTAGAGCCCAGAATCTATGACAAAGTATTTATAAACAGCTACTGTGTTACTTTCCATGTGGGTAAGTGAATGAAATAAATATTTTCACAAATGTTATTGGTGCAATAGTTTGTGGCAAACTTGCTCCAACATTCAATACTATCACTTTGAAGAGCTTTTGCTTACTAAGTTAAACTCAAATTCTCAGACGGAAAACATTTGGGCCATTTGCAGAATGGGCTGTTGCCAGTATTTGCTGATTTAACCCAGCAGATGTGAAAAGCCATAGATGCTAATACAGTACAATTTGCTTTTGCCAATCTCAACAATGATTTTGCTGCTTGGGGTTATGTTCCACTGATGTTTCCTGGCTTTGCAGAGCAGCATTCTCTGCTATGAAAAGCATAGTAGCATCTGTTATTTTTCAGGTAGTTGAGCATAATCTCAGCCCTGGGAGGCATTATCTATAGTTTCAAATGTCCTGGAGGAAATAATAATAATTATAAAAAAAAGTCAGGGAAAAGGACTTGCAATATCAAAACTTCACTGTTCCTGCAGTATATCAGCAAACTCAATTTCAGAAATTGTGTTTCTTTTTTCAGATTGTCATAAATTTCAAAGCAAAATATGAAAATGTAAACTTTTTATTTCATGTACTGTACAATAAATTTAATTTCTTGTATGGTACTGTACAGTAACAGTAAAGTATGTACACATTTTTGGTTAGAGAGTCTAATCACTGAATTATCAATTAATACTTAAATTCTCATAAAAATTGTATGTAGAGACAGCCATACTGAATCAGAGCTTTAAAGGCTAAGCCTAAGTGTTCCTGGATTAAATAAGATCTAGCTCACAAGAGAAATTAATGGGGTACCTTATTAAAAACAATAAAATGTCAAAGAAGTGTAATCTATTAGCCAAAGCAGATCTCAAAATGTTTTGAAAGGTCAGAAAAATTCAGAGTTCAAGAAATGTTTAAAAATACAATTTGACAGAATTGAAAGATGCATTTAGATACTGGTATACTCTGACTTTTCTTGAGCATATCATTAGAGACCCGTAATGAAATTCACATTTGGTTTGTGACTGAACTGTGTATTACAATTGCTACACTTTGCTAAATGTAATTTGTACTTGCACTGTGATTTAAGCACATTGTTGTATCACTCTGCTAAATCAAAATCCCATGTAACCTCAACTAATTTCAAATAAGAAAATCTTGTGTTATCCATGAAACTCTCCACGCATGGAATATCTAAAAGAACCTGGTCAGAGTACATTTCATTCTGATAGTAACTGGCACAGCCAGCAGGATGTTCCTAAGGGCAAGCTGTGTCCATTAAAGCAGTAACGATTGCTTTGGCAAAAACATGCTTCTGAGTTGGTGTTAGTCACAAATAAGAACCTAGTGGAGAAAACCTGCACTGTGATTTAGAATGGCTAGTGGTAAGACTGGCTGCAGATAGGACCACTACCATTTAAAAGAGGAAATAAAATTATTATAAATACTAGCAGGGGTTGGAAAAATTTCCACCAGTAACTCTGAAAAGAAGGGATGCGAAAATAATAATCAGGATTTTTCACGGATAGCAGAACAAAGCACTGATCCCACTGATATTAGGATGAATTTGAAAAATTGAAAGGTTCTAACAAGTTGAAAAAAGGAGAGAAAAGAAGAGCTTTTCAGGTTGCTGGGTATTTACTTATAAGTAGTAGTGCAGAAGTTAGAAGAGAAATGAACACATAGCATGCTCAAACAAGAAACAGAAACAGTTACAAAAGATAATGTAATGCGTAAGAAATCTACACAGAGAATCAAAGTAAATTCTTACGCTCACAAGTTGCAACCTCAAGTCATTATGTGATGCCCACACAAGCAGGGATCGTTTACTATGGTTTACTGAAACAGACCTCATTCAAGTGATGGCTATCATCTATGCCAGTGACAATGAATGATCAAGAGGTAGCTGGTTTGATACTGATCCTTTTCAGGGTGACAATTCTGGTGACTCATGAGAAGAAAGTATTATGAAAGCGTTTGCTCCCATGGCAAAAAAAACAAATGAACAAAGAAAGCAATGGGCCTACACCACCTGCAACCCACATATTCCCTCCCAGAGACTGCTAACATCCAGCTTTGTGACAGTGAGCATATTACAGGACACCAGTAAAGAAATTCACACTTGTATTATGACTGAACTACATATTGCAATTACTACACTGTCCTAAATGTAGTTTGTACTTGTATTGTGATTTGAGTGCACACTGTATCACTCTGCTAAATCAAAATCACATGTAACTACAACTTCTTTCTCTAACAAATGACAAAGAAATAAAATCTAATTGATTTACATCACTATGCTGTTGATAAACTAAATCATTTTGAGAAAGCTCTGATGACTCATGGTGTAGAGAATCAGTTTACATAATCTGTAAAACTAATCTTACAGGACTACAGCATTGATATTTTTTACAACTACCATTTTATTTTGCTTACTAGTACTTGCAACAAAATCATTCTTTACTTCAAACAACGGACCATAAAAGAACCTGTTAAATATAAGGGTTAAAAATTAATCTTTCATCCACTGAATTCCCTTAATAGCTGCGTAACTTTTTTGTGAATATGGAAAGAAGAATTAAGCCTTAACAGTGAAGGCTCAGATTGCCAAAGATGTCTACCAATTCTAAGCTGAAGCACAAGCAACAAATTCTTACTAATACTAAAAAACATGAGTTACCTAGTGACTGCAGAAACACAGATACTTATCATGCCCGAAAATCACGCTAAAAGGTGACCCACTAGTTAAACAACTGTATTTAAAATGTGGACATAAGGCCATAGAAAGGGAGGTATTCTTATAGCTGTAAGAACTGCCAACACCGGACATGTTCAGCATATTTGTGTTATAATTTCCACTTTTATATATATGTACATTATAGCAATTCCAGTAATTTTATTTGTCTGTGCAAGTTTAAAGAATAGCCACTGTATTTACAATTTAGTTCAGAGAGACATCTCATCAAAATCAAAATAGAAAAAAAGAAAACCTGCTGGAATTAACTGTGCAGCCTATCAGCAAAAAAACGTAGCTATTGGCGCAAAACCATTACAAGAACAGACTACAAGGTAAAGACTGGCAGATATCTGCTCTCATGGAACGCTTTAATTCACAGCACTGTAAAAGACTTATTACCAGCTGCTTTCTCCATTCCATTCCCCCACATAATTTTTTTTACAGTTTTTAAACAGGATTTTTACTTTACATTCCAATTCTATTTGCTTGCAGTCACTGTACTTAGCAGCTAGAAGATTTGATCAATAGCTAAAATTAGACTGGAATTTTTAGGAACATTCACATGCTTACTGATTTACTAATGAAACACAATAGTTTGCCATACAGTTTCGAGAGCTCACTAAAGCTC